ATTTTAAATTTAAAAAAATTTAAATATAAAATTTCAAAAAATATATATATATATATATATATATATATATATAGATAGATAGATAGATATTTTATGAAAAACTAGGTAATCTTTTTCATTTTTGTTTCAAACTTTGGAAGTAAATTTTGATGATCTGCAGTCCTTTAAAAGGGCTGTGGTGAAATAATTTATTACATGAGTAAAAAAGTTTCAAATTTTTATTTAAATTAAAATATATATATATATATATAACAAAGTTTATTAAAGTCAACGCTCAGAGGTGACAGGCTGTTTCATGCAAGACACAATCAGACAGCCTGATGATTGCATCTAGCATGAAACAGCTTGTCGCTTCTGATGTTTTTTAATGTTCACTTTTTTATATTATTTACATTAAAACACTTTCTGATATTGAGCACTTAATGTCATAAATATAACACACCTTAAAACTATATTTTTATATATATATATATATATATTGGTTACAAACACACACAAATAACTAATAAATATATTTATTACTGCATCGTTAAAACTCTTATTGATATAGGATCCTAATGGACATAAAATGGGGGAAATTTTTATATTTTTATCAAGTAATAAATAATAAAAAATTAAATTTTATTTGTTTGAGTGAAAATTCATTCACGGGAGTTAGGGACCAGAACCGGCCACGAATAGTTAGAATCCACTAATACTTATAATCCCTTTAAAAGTGTTTACAAGTACCTATTTTGATTGTTAAAACCCCAATTTAAAAATTTCATAAAAACGCTTTAAAAACATTTCAGACCCTTTTTAAAAAATTTTTTAAAAATAATATTGCTGAGCATACATTTATCGTAATTTTTTTTTGTACATACAATAACTGTTTTTAATTATGCATAGATCGATACAACCATTGAAAATACTGTATAAAAATATGTGTAGCAAGACATAAAATATAAGGTCTAAAAAATTTTCTAAAACCATTTGTGATGATGCCCCCAGACTCAGAAAATAGTTGACTTTAAAAGACCCCAGCCCCTAACAAAGAACAAAGCCCAAGCACTACGCATGTTTTTGCGTCTGTTTTTTACAATGAAGATGTAGAATTCTGACAATTTTTACCATAAAAATGGACTGTTATATGTTTTGTCACTTAAATAACAGGAAAATAATACAAGAATATTTTAAATATGTTCTATCGAAAAAAATACGTGAATTGAGTGAGTCCTCAGTGAATAATTTGTACATATGTTCTTCAATTAAAAATATACGAATATTAATGGGTTTTATGAAAAAATTTTACATATGTTCAAATGAAAAATCAGCGAATGTGTGAAGCCGCAAATGCAGAAACAAGAACAGGCAGGGGGGCATCTCTGTACTAATCACCATACATTCATAACTGCATGGGTAAACACTTATTGATATAGGATTCTACCAGACATAAAATAGGGGATGGATTTTCTATTGTTATTAAGTAATAAACTATATATATATTAATATATATATATATATATATATATATATATATATATATATATAATATTAGTGAAAAAAATATACATACATATGCAAAATATATAAATACCCATACATGTATATTTTTTAGAAAAAAAATTCCAAGAGGAAGAATCCAGGTAGAACTCAATGTCTAGGACAGAGTAAGGATATAATAAAAAAGGCTTAAACACTAATATTCCATGGTCATAATTTATTCCATTGGAATCGTAAATACGATCCAATTCATCAGACCTACAAATTCAAAAAAAAAGAAAAAAACAGAAAAAACAAATTTAGAAAAATAAAAAACAGAATTTAGAAGAGAGAGAGGGTAAGTATGAGAGGGGGGGGAGATTAAACCTTAACAGAGAGAATTTTAAGAGAGGTGGGTGGAAGGGGTTTACATAAGAGAAAAATGAATGTTGTCGGATGTCTAATGCATAAAGATACATTTTCGTGGTGACATACACACACCATAGACAATCTAATGTTAGAATAAGAGGGAGGGAAAGACGAGGTGGGGGAGAGAGATGGGACGAAGGAAAGTGAAATTTTGGTTTATTTAAAGGGCTGCTTTGTAATTGAGAAAATTTAACAAATTTAATATCGACTACAGGTTACAAATCAAATATATATATCAAGAATAAATAAATATATAAAATATATAAACATATATAAAGAATAAATAAATATATAAAATATATAAAGAATAAATAAATATATATAAAAAAAATGTAAAAAAAAAAAAAAAAATAATTTAACCCAAATAAATAAAAATGTTTTTATTTTTTCCACCAAAATAACCTCCAGAATGAATTACCATTTTGCACCACATGAAATATATATATAAATAGTCAAGGGAGAAATCCAACAATCATGGTCTGATGATTGCATCAAGCATAAAAAATAGCCTATAATAAAATGAGTGTTGACTTCAATGTTGATTTTTCATATTTATATATGCTATCTCTGATACTGAGCAACAGAACCCCCATAAATATAGCACATTGTTATAAAAACTATATTTCTTATATATATATATATATATATATATATATATATATCAAAGTGTAGGAGAACAAACAGTAAGATTACAACATTCAAAATATTAATTTAAAATCAGTGCTCAATACACAAATAGAGGCCTATAAATATTTATTCATCTTATGCAGTGTTACATTAGAACATTTTAAATATATACAAGGGAACACTATGAAAAACCTGATGAGATGTTTAAAAAAGATTTTCCTTTTTGAAGTTGAAACAAAAATGTACAATTTTGTAGTGGATATGTGCATGTTCTAATGTAACACTGCATAAGATGAATGAATATATATATATATATATATATATATACTATATATATATATTCTAATCTCCATATATGTATTACTTAATGGGTAGGCTCTTATTGATATAGGATTTTATTGGGCATAAAATGGGGGGGGATTTTCTATTGTTATTAAGTAATAAACTGATCCCCCATTAATCACTATATATGTAATAATTGTGAATAATAGACTGAAAGATTCACATGCGATAATTGCTTAAGATATTAAGGACTTATATTCATATTTTTTACTGTATGATTGACTTATTGATATAAGATTCTAATGGACATAAAATGAGTGATCGGTTTTCTATTACTATTAAATAATAAACTTGTAGTGATATGTAAATGACTGCTTAATCAGCACAGCTTAGGCACAGAGACTATATAGGTGCCCAAGCAGTAAGGCGAATTGCAGAATATTATACACAAGATTAATGACTACTGCTGGACTGAGAAAATAGAAAGGAAATCACACTACATAAGAGATATAATCAAGATGGTAACTTTCCACACTACCCAAAATAACAATACTGTAAAGAAACTATTTTTTTTATCTATTCACATAATTAGCTTCCCCTTTCTTCTCTTGCCTTCATTTTGTCTTCTGAGTGTTTGATTCTCCAAGCCCCTTTATCTCATTCTGTTTCTTAGAAATTTCTCTGTCATCTGATGCATGAAATCTCAGGGCCCTGAATCTAGATTGTAGGGAAACTGGACAGACCAAAATGAGGTATGGTTTCGCTAAAAGACCCAACACAAAATGTGACGAATGGGAAGTTGAGAGATTAAAAACTGATGGAAAATTTCTGGACAGTCACCTGAATCGCCACATAATCCAATTCTTGTATTGTCAAATTTTTTTTGTTTGCAGCTTATGCACATCCAACATTTACAAGAATTCGGCCTCTTGAGAGATTTCAAGAATGTGGATTTCTTTCAAAGCATTCGTACCAAAAGTTTTATCTGGGTTTTGCTTTTACAATCCTTTTGAAAAATATTAATCATTTAAAGAGATTCTGCAGATGAATTTGATGCATACTCAATGCTCAACTCACACAGTTTCTCTGTCAGTGGCTCTGAGAATATGCCAACTGCATCATTTGCAGAGGAGTAAAACACTACCCAACAAAAAGGGACCATTTTGGAGATAAGTAGTCTTGAGTATAAATCCAATCAAAGTTGTAAACCTGACTCAGAACTACCATCTAGATCTGTGTTGTAAACCTAAACTTGACCAAGGACTATCTTTTTAAATCTGACTGAGGTCTACTTTTCAAATCCAAATTTTAAATCTGACTGAGGTCTGCTTTTCCAATCCAAGTTTTAAACCTGACCAAGGACTACCTTTTTAAATCTGACTGAGGTCTACTTTTCCAATCCAAGTTTTAAACCTGACCAAGGTCTACCTTTTTAAATCTGACTACTTTTCCAATCCAAGTTTTAAACCTGAGCGAGGTCTACCTTTTAGATTTCAGTTGTGGGTGTGACCTTTGCCTATTTTTTAACTCAAGTTGTAAACCTGTCCTACAGCTACCTATCTATTAAATCATTTTGATTTTTTTGCCCTATATCAATTATATTTGCTATAAAATATCCCAGCTATGGTTAATATGTCATTAAATAAAGTGAATGTAAAGGTAACACAGTGAACAAATATATTCAATCATGCCTACTTGCTGACTGAGCTGAAATTCCTGTTTTTCTACACATGCATTGATAATAAAACTTATTTCTTAGTGGCTGGTAAGTTAGATCAAGGTCATGCAGCTGGTTCTTAAATTATTCAAAATGGCTTCAAACTTTCCAGACCTCTTATGGTTCCTTGTCTTCAGTTGAGCATTGATTTCAAATGAATGAATTCATTATGTATGTATGTATGTATGTATGTATTATATGTATATATATATATATATATATATATATATATATATATAATGCCTACCCAACCCAAATTTCTTTCTTAAAAAAATCACTTATACAAAAGTCTATTATTTATTACCTTCTCCTTTTAAATTTCTCACTTCCTGACCAAATTTTCATTTTCTTTGTTTTTTTTTTTAGTTAGATTTTTGTTTTTCTCTTGTTTATTCTCTCTTTCTGTCTTATCCGTCTGTGACCTACATCCCAAACAAAGAACACAATGCCTCATAGTACGACTGCATCTGCCAATGAGTTGTACTGCAATCGCAGTTGCCGGCCATCAGCGCCAAAAAGAAAACAAAGATCAAATTCCAAACAGCATTTACAGGAGACGATGCACATTTTGCCATTTAAAATATCTTTCCGACAGTCACTCGAAATTTATCAACACTACTCCAACCCTCATAATTGATATCTATCCCATCATCCTCTTACGAGCAGAGATCAATAACAGAGCACTGAAAGGTTCTTTTCTTAGAATTTCTGAGATGAATCATTGTTATTTATTCTTGTGGATAACAGATATACACTTGAATCTTGCTGGAGGATTATTATTTAAAATTTACTAATAATGATGCTTGATCTCAGAAATTCAGACAACCTAAGACGATCATTGACGACTACAAGTTTTAAATTGGTAAGAGTAAAAAAGATGTAAGAAAAGAGAGTCAAAAATTAATAATGATAACACCTAAAAAAATTAAAACAATCAAAGACTATTATATCATCTACTACTAGTAGGAATAACAAAGCAAGAGAATTATTTACATTATTTAGATTGTTCGGAGTGTTGGCCTAATTTTTATTGCTATATTTATGTTTCAGCCATTGTACACTCTGACCTTTACCAAGTGATTGGAATTTTGTACTGAATCCTTTATTTTGTCCATTGGGGTAGACTGTTCTAATTCCACATGCCATGCCTCTTCCGGATGTCTCAGTTATCTCCCTTTAATTCAACTCTCTAAGTTATTGAATTCACAACTTTTTGGGTCAAGTCACTGGATCCAACCAATGCTTTTATCCACTGGACCATAAACAAAGGATTTAGTTCAAAATTCCAATCACCTGAAGAAAGCTGGGGCATACAACGGCTAAAACATTGTGAATATGGTAATAAAGCTGAGGACAATAGTCTGAACAATGTAAATATTGTAAATAATTACAATACCTCATCTCAGAAATATAGACAGACCCTTAAGAAGGCCAGAGGGTACAACAGCCAAAACAGTGTGAATATGGCAATGAAGATGAGGACAACAGTTCAAACAATGAAAATAATTACAATACCTCATCTCAGAAATATAGACAGACCCTGAAGAAGGCCGGAGCATACAACGGCCGAAACATCATGAATATGGCAACAAAGATGAAGAAAATAGTTCAAATAATGTAAATAATTACAATACCTCATCTCAGAAATATAGACAGACCCTTAAGAAGGCCAGAACATACAACGGCCGAAACATCGTGAATATGGCAACAAAGCTCAGGAAAACAGTCCAAACAATGTAAATAATGTAAATAATTACAATACCTCATCTCAGAAATATAGACAGACCCTTAAGAAGACTTTAGAGCTTTAACGAAGCCAAAACGTGCGTGAATATGGTAAACAAAGATGAGGAAAACAGTCCGAACAATGTAAATAATGTAAATAATTACAATACCTCATCTCAGAAATATAGACAGATATTAAAGCAATAGAAATAGGATGAAAAAAAATGAGCTATTAATTACTAATGGCAATGCTTTAGTTGGAAATTCAGACTTAAAATATCTCTGTCCAAATTTCTGGGATGAGGAGTTATCATTATTTTCACTATTTACAAGCTGATTATAGTCCTCATCTTTATTTTTATTATCACAATTTTTCAACTGTTGTGTCTTCTGACCTTCATCAGGTGAATCTAGCTAACCTACAGGGAATTCCAAACTTAACCTTTTATTTAATCAACAGAGATGGACTGTTCTCGTTCAACCACCCATGTCTATGAATACATCATCTAGTTCTTATTTTTGTTTAGTACTGGTCAGTCATTGCTCATTCTGTTTCCACCGAGTTCAAGTACACACTGCCCAGCCCAGGGATTGAACTCACAATTATTATGCCCCCAAATTCATGAAACAAAGCTTTAATCTGCTAAGCCAAGATGTTCTGACAACAATGACAAAGATGAGGACAATAACCTGCTCATAAATAGTGTAAGTAAGAATATATCTACTACTACTATTACAATGTGTAAAAAAGCAAGAGGAATACAATGAAAGATTAACCAAACACATGGTCTTTTGAACAGGTTTATGCCTTGTCTCCTGTTTAGGATTGTGTGACTGGTTCCTTCTAAAAGTCTACTTCAACCCTATACTTGTAATATCTCTGCCTAAAACTCTGAAATTGTATTTATTTATTACTAGCAGTAGAGCCCGGCGTTGCCCGAAGATGTAACAGTAAGAGATAGATCAAGTATCCACCATCATAAAGACTGAAAAATAAAATTGACAAAGATTATTGTTTAAGGTTGACGGACATGCATGTCTTAATTAGTTTTTTTTTTTTTGTTTTTTTTTTACGAATTGGTCAAACCCAAACTCAAACAAAAACATTGTTTTCAATTGTTATGAGTCTCCTGATTGAATAGAATAATTTTATAAACAATTGTCTTGTAAATGGAATTTTTAAAGCATTCTGAATGTTAAAAATAAAGAAAAAAGTGTGCAAGAGAATAAGAAACACTACCTGCCAAAAAAAAAGTGAAGTTTTGTTGAAATCGGTTGAAAAATGTAGGAAATCCGCTCCCATGTTTAAAGGAACCCACACACACAAACAACCCGATGTGAGTTGTCCCCCTTCCATTTTCACGATGTCTCTTAATTGTGTTTTCAAATTGATTTTGTGCAAAAACAATTATATTTTTTCTATTTTTGGTGCTGTTAGAACCACCACAAGGTAATTTTATGTAGTCCTGTGAAGTTTTGTTGAAATCGGTTGAAAAATGTAGGAAATCCGATCCAATATATAAACATTACAGACACACACACACACAATCTGCATTTTATAATAAGTAAGATTATTTATTTATTCATTTATTTTTTCCTATGAGTAGATAGGTTTGCATATCATGCAGTCCGCATTCCTCCCTGGTCTTTTGAAAAAAGATTAGAGGATTATCCCTCATTTTCTGTTTAGGATTCGGTTTCCGGTTCCTTCTAAAGTCTACTTCAACTCTGTTTTCTAACACCTCTGCCTAAAACTCTATAATTTTACTTACAATTTCTTTTTCTCAGTATGAGTAAATTGGTTCGTCTATCGCCCGATTCACACCTCAGTCTTTTGAACAGGAATAGAAAGTTTATCATTTGTCTTCTGCTTAGGATTGGGTTTCCAGTTCCATCTAAAGTCTACTTCAACTCTATATTTCTAACATCTCTGCCTTGAACTCTGAAATTGTATTTATTTACTATTTATTTATTTTTTCCTCACTATGAGTAGGTAGGTTCACCTATCATCTGGTTCATACTCCTACCTGGACTTTTGAACAGGAGTAGAGGTTTATCCCTTGTTTGTTTTTAGGATTGAGTTTTAAGTTCTTTCTAAAGTCTTTTTCTTTTGTTTCACTCCCAGTAGCCCCTTGCATCTTAGTGGCGTTATCACCTTGATTGGGGTGAATTGATAAAAAATAAATAAATAACCATGGAAAAAGAGTATAAAAAATATTTTCTGCCTGGGCTGGAGCTACACAATCTTCACTTTCTAGTTTTAATAGACTTCAAAATTAATTACTATTATATGTATAATGTAAATGCATTACTAATGATTTTATGAAAAAAAGGATTAAAAATCAGGAAGAAAGGGATTGTCAGTGGTCAGGAATTAATGCAAGCATTACTGATAGAATAGGGCTATTATATATATAATATCAATGCAAAATCAGGAAGAAAGGGATTGTCAGTGGTCAAGAATTAATGTCATTCTCAATGATAGAATATGGCTATTATATGTATAATGTAAATGCATTAATAATGATTTTACTATAAAAATGTATTGAAAATCAGGAAAAAAAGGATTGTCAATGGTCAGGAATGAATGCAAGCATTGTTGATAAAATATGTCTGTGACATGTATAATGTAAATGTATTGCTAATGATCTTACTATAAAAATGCACTAGAGTCAAGAATTAATTCCTGACTTATAGAATACAGTTAGTCTATATATAATTTATTAATGTATTTCATGCAACTTGCACAAAAGAAAAGGAATTTGCTGTTTGTCTAGACAGACATGAAAGAATTATGCATTCAGTTAGAATCAAGAATTACTTTGATACATTCACATTCTTATGTACAAAGAAAGTAGATTAATTTCTAGTCCGTCTTTGTATGGGCCATTAATTTCACAGGAAGCATTTTCTAACTTCCTTCTCTCTATTCAATAAAAAAATTATTGGAAGTTGAAGGATGGAACAGTATTTAATGAACTCGCCGGAAAATTACAGCCGACAAAATTCTTGCAAGAACAAGACTTTCAAAATCATGTCGACAAAGGTCATGAGGTGACTAACTCCTTCCCTTTGACCTGGAATCACATCTTCACTATGGACCTTTTTATCAAAAAAGCTTGGAGGATTTAACACTAAAGAAAAAGGGTAGTGAACTGTTATGTGATATCAGTTCTCCTCTATAGAATGTCTTTACTGTCTCCACTTTCTGTAAAACTTCTCCATTGCTCACATGTTCAGTTCATTGTATTCTCATCATCCTTCTGTAGAACAACATTTCTGTTACCTCAAGTATCTTCTTCCTTGCTGAGGTGATTGTTTGGACTACAGATCTTATTTTTTTGTTGTTTCTACAACCATTGGCCAATTAATATATTGTTCTTGAGTGAAAATATTACACTGAAAATGTTGTTAGAAACAAAGAAAAGAGTACTGAGTTGTTACGTAATATCGGTCCTCCTATATAGCAGATGATGCTAGTCAGTCTCCTCAGAGATGAAGAAGAGACTTAAGGCAACAGAAATATAGTTATACAGTAGGATGCTGAGAATACCATAGAACAAACATGTCAGCAATGATGACATTTTGGAGAAAATGGAAACAAAAGAAAACTTATACTTTAGAAGAGATTTTTTTTTTTAAGCATTTCACCCCAAGCAAGGCGGGAAGCCACTAGGACGCAAGGGGTTAAAGAAGATTTGGAGCAAGATCAGATAGCAGTGATAGAGGAAAGGATGAGGAGAAGGATAGTGGATAGATCAAGGCAACTGGAGATGTCGAT